TGGCTGTGTGCTGCCTCATAGGAAATTTATCTGGGATCCTGATAGGTGTGGTCACTGCAGGTGCAGGTAAAATGTGTTTCTAGGTATTGGCAGCTGATACTATGGAATGGGGATGGATTAGGAGAGGGCGTGAGTGGGTCCGTAGGAGGGAGGAAAGCAGGGTGTTCCACCAGGGTCTGCTTAGTCCCTTAAGAATGTGGGCACAGAGTGAGTGGAGGCCACAGCAGAAGGTCTGCTTCAGAGCTGGGGATGAGACTTGGGGGTTGGACTTGGAGGAGTGGAGGGTAAGGAGAAGATCTACAGTTAGCTCATCTGCTTCCACTAGCCTTGTGGTTTCTGGTTGGAGTTAAGTACTTTCATTTGATATCCCCAGGTCTGTGAAACTTACCCAAAGGAGCTATATGTTCCAAAGTCAGCCACCCCACCAATGATCATGGGCAGCTCCAACTTCCGAAGCAAGGGCAGACTTCCAGTCCTGTCCTACTGCTGGCAAGGCACCGAGGTAAGAGACTTCTCTCACTTAACAAGTACAGTAAACACAGGCAATGTTCTAAGCGTCCAGAAGAACACTAACTTTTGGTTTGGTTTTGTTTGAAATAGAGTTTCACTATGTAGCTCTTGCTGTACCAGAATTCAATATGTAGACTATGCAGGCCTTGAACTCATGAGATCTGCCTACCTTTGCCTTCTGAGTGCTGGAGTTAAAGGCATATGCCACCACACTGGGCAGTGAATATTACCTTTTACTTCACAGGCTTGCTATTATAATGTTTGTAACAGAGACATGCTGGCTTTTCACTATTGTTTTTGAAGTCATAAAACAAAACTACCCTGAAATTCTCCTTTCCTACCTTTCTCTTCCTGAAATGCCTTAACAATAGGATCAGTGAATAGATAGGTCTGTTTCTTTTCTGTAGTTGCCCCTTAGTCCTGTGTGTACTTAGAGAAATCGGACAGCCTGCTTGTGCCAAGGCAAGCACTGAAAGCGGAAGAGAACCCAGGGCATCTGTGCTCTGTGCGAACAGCATGAGCCCTTCACTTGGGAAGGGTTTTGTAAGGAGCAGGAAGAGGCGGCATACCCACACTGATGTGCTGGCAGGGCTTGCTTGTCCTGTGTGTCTGCACACATGCGTTGCTGGCACTGGAATCCAGGGTCTCCTGCTCTACCCTGAGCTTCACCCTCACCCCGTGAGAACTTACCTTCCCAGCTTCCTAACAGTAGGGATAGCCTAGGTGCTGTCTGGTTTGTATCTTTGCAATCTCCTGAGGCAGCAGGCCTTGCTGATGACTGAGGTTCAAAGGCAGCTTCCACACAGGTGGGTTGAGTACCTTGCCATTTCTGACTCCCAAGCCCTTGTAAACTGATTTTTAAACACATTCCTCTCTTTACCCAGAAGGCTTTTTTCCTGGGTTCAGGAATTTCATAGTGATGTGCTGTGGTATATCATTTACAGACTGCCCATAAACTCTGATCTCAGCTTGAAGAAGGTACTTCTGTTTCTGCAATGATTTCTTTTCTCTGTTCATTTTCTTTGTATTTTTTCCTTTTTAGCTTGTGTTAGTTGACAGGCTTCCTGTGTAAGCCTCCATTTCTGCAGCTTTCCTTCCTGCATCCCATGTCTCTGTTTTCTGGAAGAGTTGCTTAACTGTCCTTCTCATCCAGCTCTCAGGTTCTTTAGTTCTGAGATTGTGTTTGTGACATTAAGGGTTCTTTCTCTTTTCTGAATTTCTTTAGTCAGTTTCCTGTTGTCTCATTTTGTGTCAACAGCTCTCAAGCAGACAGGCTTTTGTTGTTCATTAATTTTTTGTTTTTTAAGAAATTCTGTGTGTGTCTCCCTTTCCTCGTGTTTCAGCTGTTAAAAGTTTGCATGCCTGAAGCTGTGTGCCTTTGCATTTTTATTTTTCTGCTATGTGTTTGGCTTCCTCACAGTGTGCTGGTGTAGCAGCAAAAGGATTTTGTGTGATGTAACAGTTACGAAGGGTGGCAGGAGCTCCCATTCTCCTGGATAGACTATATTTTATTCTCTTGTTTAGGGAAGTTCAAGGCTTCACTCCCATCCTTTGCTGGGTCCAATCTGATGTTAATCCTCTTTGTAGACTAAACTCTACAAAAAGCTCAGGGAGGAAAGATCTGGAGCAGCTCACCTTTCTGTGTGTTCAGCCACACCCTGCTCCTGCAGGTGCCAGCTATGACCTTGCTGCTAGATTTCCCTGCTCCTTCCTGTGGTAGGCTCTTTCTCTGCCAAACCAGTTGCCTGTTGCCAGTCTGCTGTTACCCCAAATGTCACCGCACCTCTGTTGGAATTTCTTTGTCCATGCTTGTCCTGGTGGCCTCATATGCCTTGTTTTTGTTAGAACTTTGTTCAGGTAAATTTTAAACAGAAGTTTCTAATTTACTTCTAGTATCTTAAGCTGTAGGGAGTTTCCTGGCCACCTTGGACACACCCTGTTATCATACATTGTTTATTGGAAAGATAGGTTAAAAATACTCAGTGGTTGACATAGTAATCAGAAAACAGGTGTAAAAGGCATGTAGAGCTTTCCTTTAAAATGGCAACAATAAGAAACCTGTTTATGCTCAGAGAACTAGGATACCACATTTAACAACAGAAAAGTAACTAAAACAATTTTGCAGAAAATAGGAAAGAACTCTTGAACATTAAAAGTGACATAACAGTCTTCATTTTCTTCTGCCATTGTAATTTCTGTGGTCGTATTTTGTTTGTGCAGGTAAACTATACAGACATGTATGTGGAGGCCCACAAAGGTTTCCTAGTGAGATCTGAACTTGCTTTACCCAGCAGGGCTGCCTAAGGGGATGGATTGACCATGTGTGTGGTTACCAGGTGTTTGGAAGGTTTACACTTGGCTGAGATAGGGGGAGATCTTTTGCTCCACCCCTTGACATTCCTATAAAAGGCCCTTTACAAGATGCAGGAGGGGCCAGTGGATATTGATCCAGGCCCTTCTGAGGCTATCCTGTGTTTCTATCTGTTTCTCTCCCCTCTATCTTTCTACCTAATATCTCTTATCCCTCCCTCCCTCCTCAAAAGTACCCCGGGGAAAAAGTGGGGGTGGGTTCCCCCACAGATGGTGCCAGGAACAGGGACAGAGGACTTGGCAAAAGGAGAGTTAGGGGTATCATGGGTGTAAGCGGGCATGCCCAATAATGAATTAAAAATAAAGGTGACAGTATTTTATTCTTGGGAGTGAAAGTAAAGTGGCTGAAAGAAATGCCAAAGTGAAAAATAAGGCTGTAGTAAATATCTCTATCTAGATTTCTTTCTTTCTCTCTTTCTTAATTTCTATCTATAAAATTAAGGAAAAACATAGGGTTAGGTATAGGAATATTGAGTAAGAAGAAATTCAGAATAAGAGTAGAATTAGGAATATTGGGTAAGAAAAAACTTAGGGTAAGGTAGAATATAGGAAGATAGTGTAGAAAAAACTTAGGATAAGTTAGAAGAGCAACAAGACAGAAGGGCTGTGTTCTTGGGACTGTGAATGCAGACTTCTGAGGAAGAATTGGAGTCATGAAAAAATACTATGAGAGAAAATGGGCAGAAAAAGATTCCTGTGGAAGCTTTTGGCCTATGGATAGCTTAGATCTAAGCTCTGAGTGTCAGGGAAAAAATATTCCCTGAGACAGATGTGGGTGAGACAAAAACTTCCGCTCTACCGATATTGCCACTGTATGAAAACATCGTACCATCAAAATTAGTTTGCTCTTGGCCATGAAGCTGAAAATAAGGAATAGAAGTCTTGGGAAAACCTAGTAATTTCTGCCTAAAAAACTGAAAGCTTTTCAGGTCTTTCCTTCTCAGATCTCTTTTCTTTCTATAAGGGTGAAATTAGATTCGCCTGGAACAACATGTATCAGAATGGGGAAGTCACCTGTAATTGCCCTAGAAAAAACACCTCTTGGAACATAGTAAACCCTTTCTGCTGGTCCTGTCTCCTCTTCAAGCCAGTATTAGAAAAACAGCAGACACTTTGGACCCTAGCCAGAGTCCCCTACAGCTAGGGCCTACTAAGAGATGCCCCAGGGAATGCAGGCAGAAAGTCAAGCAAGGGAAGATTCCCTCAGGGTGGAGTGGCAGCAGAGGTGGTGTGAGACCGGGGAAAAGCTGCTGATGTGGAGGAAGCAGTAGCTGCAAAGCTGCAATGGCAGCATGGGAAAAACTGAAGCAAAATTTGGCCATACAAATGAGGTCGGCAGGGACAGCAGGAGCCACCCGCCCAACCTCGAGCCCCGAGTCGGTAAATGAGGCTACACGGTGTCCACAACTGAGGAGAGGAGTGAAAGAACCCCTCTGAAAAAGCTCTTTTCACTGACCTGGTGAGGCTGGGAAGCAAAGCCACCAAATGTGACCTGCTCTGGGGACAGTGCCAGGTGAACTGAGAGTGCAACAGCCAAAATTGGCCACAGCTGGGACAGGTATATTTGTGAGAATAGGAAAAATGTGCCATGTACTGAAGGTTGAAAAGTTATAACTACAGCCTGAGCTGAATGACTCATAATCAAGTATCACAAAGTGCTGCTTAGGAAATGTAGTTCACAACAGCGTGATGGTATAGAAAAGGTAGAGTGGAAAATGTGGTTTGTAACAGTGTAGTGGTATAGGTAGGCCCGGAAGAAAATGCAAACAGACAGGGACAAAAAAAAAAAAAAAAAAAAAAAAAAAAAAAAAAAAAAAAAAAAAAAAAAAAAAAAAAGATTGTTTCCCCATAACAGAGCAACAAACAGCCCAAGGGAAATACTG